GGGAGTTGGGAACTGCAATAACTTTAAGCATCTGGGTATCCCTAGTAAAGAACAGACAAGAGGAATACAGAATTATATTCCATCTCAAAAGACAGAGAAGATACTTCACCACTGTGAATGCCTGTACATTTACAAGCTTTTCTGGCCCCCTTTTAACCAATTCTGCAGTCTCCATCTTCTTCCTCTTTCACAATACTCTATTCACAATGGTCAGCTGTAAAGGACCAGAGAACAGAAAACTTTCTGACACCACTTCCCCTTGTCTGCCTGCTGATTGTATAGATTAGTGTAGATGGTATTGGTCTTCTCAACACATGAATTAGCTTTCTGTAGTTCTTTTCATAAGCTACACTGAGCATTTCCTAAATTATTCCCAGAAGTAAAATATAAAATGGAAACATCTACTGCATTGGCAAAAATCTAAATGTTCTCCCCTTCTTTTTTACTGCATTCCCAATTTAAAAATCTTTGTGAGTAAATGCTGCAGTTGATGCTACAACTGTTTAAAGATTATCATCATGTCTGTGTGCTGTTCCTACAAACATGAAACTTTAAAGCACATAAAGCAGTAAGACTGACTGACGCCCTTGGTTCGTTTGTTCAGACCCAGTTATTGAGGCATAAATAGTGTGCTATCTAACACCATGAACTGACCTAGGAGTGCCTATAATACACAGGTACAGTGAGACCTAGAAAAACTGAGTACTCAGTGTTAGAACAGAGAGCCAGCACTACCTGATTTCCTTGCCCTGGTCTTACAGAGCTGTGACAAATGACACAGGATTTTCCCTTCTGCAGGATGGAGTTCCATATGTGACTACCTCAGGGGAATATGCAAAGCTTGAGTATTAACATTCAAAACCTACAAATTTTCATCTTCATTACTTTCTCCTTCTTCCCTGCCCCCCCAAAAGAGTTTTCACCTAAATGCAAATTAGTTTTAAGCTGTCACAAAAAGAATTAATTGCTGCATTTAATCTGTTTTTGTTTTAAAAGTATGAAAACTATATGAAAGTGCATAAAAAAAATTAAATGTTAAATGATCCCTCCTGAGTCACTAAGTCACTGTGGTCCATCACTGCATATTTAATTACATTTTAAAATAAAAGTATATACTTGAATTGACAGAGCATAATGGCTGCTTTGGTGCTGCTGTAGATATTCATAGAAAGACTTAAAGAAAGACATGGATTACTGACCTGAGAGGCCAGGACAGTAACCTAAAACAGCCATCATGGTCTCTACTGTGAATTCTTCTTATTTCATAGACCCCTGACACAATGGATGGAAGCAGGATAGAGGTTTATAATAAAAACGCTGACACAACCTTACCTATAGCTGTGCAAATGGTGCTTCTATAATTAAACTTTACAACTTCAGCACCACGAAATAAGTTGCTAGTTTTTAATCATATTAATCAGAGCTTCGTGTTTCAATTGCCATATATTATCATGCAGTGTGAACTATAAAAATAAAAAGATTCCCAGCTGCTAAATATCACAGCTGTTATGAAACCCAGAAGTATATCCAAACACTCCTCTGTAAGTGCAAATACACTGAAGGAAAACCTCAGCTGACTATCCATTTTTTGGGGTTTTTTTCATTGTTCAATACAATGGCCACAGAAGGTATTCTGAATACATTACAAGAATATCACTGAATAGTAAAAAAGTTTCATTAAGATCTCCCCTGTTTCAAATTTTCCTATCAGCACTAAAAGAAGTCTACTGTTTTCTATGACAATGACAGCCAGAAGCCTGCTTTTCCAGAGAAAGGCACTGAGATTATTCTTCATGCACTGCTGTTTTCTTTAAAAGCCAGCTCTCCAGCAATAGTGAGGAGTGGGTGGCAAAACTCTCACTGCTTTCAGTGGTCTGAGATTTGGAGCCTGGAAATGTTTTATGAAAATATTTCTCTTCACATTTTCTCTTCATTTGTCCGAGTGATTTACAGCTTTACTTCAGCAAGGAAAGTTTCCTCTCAAAAAAGCTACATTTGGTGCAAACTGAAGGGATATTGCATTGGAGCTGCAACCCTCTATTTTTACCAAGTGGTCATTGCTAATTACAACAATAAAATTAATCTGTAATTAAAATTTGGTTGCTTACCATTGTCCTGAATTTGCAAATCCTTGCGTGCTGCATGCCACTTTACATGTATCATGTGACACATTCCCACACTGTCAGTGCATACTCCTCTACAGCACCAGTTTTATAACACCTTCTGGAGACAATTGTGCTTTCCTTTGAGATGGGTGGTACAGGTATGTAGCCTGTGTGTCACAAAGGGTCCTGTAAGCAATCAGTGGAATGAGCATGCCTGCGATTTTGTGTGGGGGAGAATATGCAATGGACATTTCTGAAAATTATAAGAGCTGTAGCAATGCATAGGAGTTGCCATAGTGTTATTCTGACCCCTGAAGGATGGAGACAGAGTTAACTTCATATCCTTTTTTTCCCAATTTACTCAGTATACTCTATGAATGTCAAACTCTAAACTGCATTGGCAGGATATTTTAGTGCTTGCCCAGACCTAGCCTCCAGAAATATGAATATAGTCATGAACTAATGGTGAATCAACTTTAAAATACTGATGTTTTCAGGGAAGCAGGAAAAACTGATTTTTCAGGCTGCTGTAGGGTAAAATTACAGTGAGTTTGATAGTGCATTAAATCTAGTAGGTATGTGAAGATCATGCTTATCTAGAGATGTAAAACCCACTCTGCCCTCACCTCTTCTTAACTGAAAAGTATTTTAGTGACATTTTGCTAGAATGGATTCAGAGTGAAGTGGGGAAGGACACAGGTCAGTGATGATAAGATCACTCATTTCAGCTGAGTTAAGATTTCATCAGGCTTACATTTTTCAGAAAATGCATGTGTTAGAGGTATGGGCCCTCAGCAGCGCCTTTGTGAGCTTATCCATCTTTGAGTGCTCTTCCCCCTCCTCCCCCTGAACAGATAGGAAAAGTGATTCGGGATTCTAAAATGGGCATTAAGGCATATCCTGATACTGCTATCTTTGAGGACAATTTGCTAAAAAGGTCTGAGTTAAACCGATGGGACTCCTGTTACACCTTTGCTCATTTCTAAGCCGCTTGAAACGCGCTAAAAGACCACCTTTTCGGTTCCTCTAAATGTAACAGGTGCACGAAGCTGTTGTATGTGACAATACTTTCTCCCCGCGTCAGTCACGCTGTATTGTAACCCACTGAGGCAGCACCCTGCCAAAGCTGCGAGCAGCGGCTGCTCACACCGAGAGAGACACGGCGCTGTCTGCGCCCGGGCGGAGCGGCACCGGCTCTGCTTCTGCACCGGGGGATGGAGAGGTCAGCACAACGCCGCGCTCGCAGCTGGGCGACGGCGAGGGGAGAGGAGGAGGATCAATTTTAATTTCGGTCTTGTCCCTCCTCCGCTCAGCTGTTGCCATGCACCCGAGTCCCAGGTTGCGGTGTGACCTTGCGAAGGAGCGCGCAGCCGGCGCTGCTCAATGGGACCATTGTGCAGCCCTGCCGGGGCTCTTCCGGAGCCTCTCCCCGGGTGTGGCCGAGCCAGCGCCTCGGCAGCCTCCCCCTCCTCCTCCTCCTCGTCCTCCGTGAACTCTCTGTCCCGGGGAAACTCCGCCAGCAGCACGCTGATGCAAAAGGCAGCCTACGAGAGGCAAACCCCTTGTCAGGAGCTGAGCAAGGATCTCCCCTCCTCTGCCCAGGTCTCCATCCCTCGCTGCCGGGAGCGCTACAAAGTTAAGCCAAGTGATCGATACGCTACAGGAGAATATTATTCCACTATCGGCGACTGATGCCACTGATGTAATCAAGTTACATAATCACCGTCTTTGCACAAATACATCCATCTTCCTACAGACAGATCTGCATATCTTCTTCCATCCATTATGCATGAACTCACCAGCAGTACATAAGGGTACATATTTTCGCACACGCTATGTAACTTTGGCATTGCAGTGCATTGCACTGCACAACGTCATCACTATCGATTCCCTCAACCTTCCCCCATTCCCTCTTATCAGGACTGATTTTGCAGAGAGAGATTACCAATGTGCATTGCTCGGATCCCTTTAAATCTTTAAAGGCTGAAGTGCTTCCCTCACTTGCTTCTGTTCTTAAGAAGATGATCTTTCCTTTTTCTCTCGTCTCGCTTCACACCACAAGTAACAGGAATGAATTCCCACACAGTCCCTCAGCCAGATGCATGTATGTATGAAATACCGAAGATAGCATCTCTGTTTGCACATCTTCCAACTCCCATACACGTGGTCCGAGGTTTCAGTAGGTAAGTTATTGGATAAAAAAGATATTTTGTAAGAGCAGCTGGATGAGATATTTTCAGGCTAGTGACATTTACGATATTTCTCTACTATGAAGCTGAGGGAATATTGTCCTTACCGCCCCTCAGTTTATAATTTCCTTGCAGGATTTACAGGAACAGTTGTAATCCCAAATTACCAATGGCATTTAACCCCTTTAGCACCAGTGCACTGTACCACGATCAATAAGGATCACCACCTTAAAGTTTAACAACTTGAAAAGCAGATTTTCTCTACCTCCATTGCAGCTATGAAATGCAGAAGAACGCTGCACAGAGTTGGAAACATCTATTTAACCAGAGGATGGTATCCGATCTCGTATTAATTAGATTCCATCACAGAGAGCTTCTTTGCTGTCACATACCCTTTCCAGTCAAATATATTACAATCAGGGAAATAAAAAATTAAAAGAGGGAAAATTAAAGACTCCTTGTTCTTACAGTACTCTCCCAAATCCAGAGGATGCATAAATACAGAGGGAGGAGGGTTTTTTTTTTATTTTTAATTTATCGCAAAAAGCACTCACCAGAAGACCTACTGCAGTTATTCCACTCAACTGCCAATAGCAGCTGGAGCCCCTCGCATCAGGGTAATGCAGCAATCCCGAAAGTGCCCATTTCAGTCACCCGCCACCAAGTTTAGCAATGCCGGGCTTTTGCCTGGATAAAATGACCTTACCCACTGGAGTCTCCCGAAATATTCCTCCGGTGCGATCAGTCAGCGAGGCGAGTGCCGGTCACCACACTGCGCACTCGGCCGGAGGAGCCCCGTGTTTACTCCTGGGGCTCAGCTGGCCGCGAGTGCCGCGGACGCGGCGCCCATCCATCCAGCGCTGCCAGCTCCGCCGGGGGCGCAGGTAATTCCATACAGACTTCGGCGCCCCCCACCCCCCCGAGTCGCCCCTTCCTTCCCAGTTCAGAAAGTGTCCGCGTCGCCGGCGGGAGGTACCATCCAGGTGCGGCGAGGGGGGGCGGGGGGAAGGGGGCGGCCGGCCGGGGGGCCCCCGCGCCGCCCGCGGGCAGCTCCGCGCCCAGCGCGCCGCCGGATCCCGGCTGCCCGCACAAGTATCCGGCGAGCGACGGTCCGGAGGGGGCTCCTTTCCTGGTGCTGGGCGAATGTGGGGAAAACGCTCCGGGGAGGGGGGGCGGGGGAGGCTGCCTGACGGGTCCTAGCACCCGCACCGCAGCGCCGAAAAAAAAAAAAAAAAAAAAAAAAAAAAGAAGAAGGGAGGAGGTTTGGGGAGAAATTCTCCAAATGGAAAAGAAGAAAGAAAAAAATCAGTTGTCCGCTTGCCCCGAACGATACTAATCCCCGGTGAAAATGACAAGTGATCAGCAAAGAAGAGGAGGTCTTGATTGATAACCACAATCCACCCAAAATATCCTCGGGAGCAGAGGAAGAGAGGGAGGGAGAGAGGCGAGGGAAAGAAACTGCAGTGCATGAACGATCCCTGTGTTCCTACGAGACGGGCTCGCTCGCTCGCTCGGCTGAACGCGCCCTCCGCCGGGCCGGCAGGAAGGGGCCGGCACTGCCCCCCGATGGACAGCGCCGCACTCGCGCCGCGCTGCGGGGGGAGCCGGGGAGGGCCTTCCGAAGGGATCCTGGAGAAACTCCTGGGAGCGGGGCCTCCCTTCCTCCCTCTCCCTCTCTCCCTCCGCCCCGGCGCCGCCCGCCTTCCCGCGCCGCCTCGCTCCGCAGCGCCGGGGCCGCTCCGCTCCGCTCGGCGCCGCTCCGCGCCCGCCGGGGCAGCGGCGGGGGCACGGCCGGGCGGGGAATGCCGGCCGCGCAACGCGCCTGGGGGTCAGCCTGCTTCGCTTCACCTCTTGTGCTTTATTTTATTTTTCTCCCCCACCCCTTCCCCTCCGGTTTCCCAAGCGAAGTGTTTTAGGAGAGATGATACATTATCTATTCTTGGATTTTTATAAGGCAAACTGTGGGCCTCGCTGTTGCCATGGGATCTTCTTTGTGCGAACTCTCTGAACTGTGTGGGAACAGTTTTATTTCCTTCCCTTCAGATTTTTGTCTTTATTTTTTTCCCCTTCTCTTCTGCAACTCTTCTGAAGATATGTATCAAAATGTAACCGCATTATTGCCAATTAAGATTAACAGCAGCTGCAAGGTGCATCTAATTAAGAATGTTAATTACTTCATGAAATAAATAGTCATTTGCGGATGTTTATTATATTAAACAAATGTTCTATAAAACATAACTCAAATTCTGACACTCCCCTCAAAACATTTGTTCCTATTCCTGCACAAAGGTGCAGGGGAGTAGGCACCCTTTCTTCCATTGCATTTACGCACCAGGTGTACACACAGGGAAGAGATAAACTTGTCTGTGTATAGGTACGGGGTTGGATCTGAGGCATTTTGAACTCTTACAACCCATTGTATGGGGTCGGAGTGTGGAGGAGCAGGAAATATCTGAGCAATGTGAGATAAATGTGTACAGTTACGTACCTGTTTATATCTTTGTAAATAGCGCTCTCCGAAACCGGGACAAAGAGACCAGGCAACGTTCACTTATCTCTTCATCTGTCCTGGCTCCTTGTAGGGCCACAGAGAGGAATCCAAACTGCTACACTTATTAAACCCCCAATATCTTACAAGAGAAGGGGGACAAGAAAAGGTAGCCCATAGGAGAATATGTTTTTCCTACAGAACATGATAAAGGATTATTGATAGGCAGATAATGTGCCATGCAGGGTCAGTGGGTTGCAGGAGGGCTGGGAGCTGTTGGAGGATTTGTGAAACTTGCTCACACCCCATCACACCTCACCTTATAATAGAATGGTGTTCTCCATGTCAGATAAAAAATAGACAAAGCTAGAAATGAGTGCAGCAACCAGTAGTCAGAATCCAATGTTAAAGAAATTAATGTGACTGGTTAAACCAGTCATTTAGATACTACTATGATGAGTGATCCTATATGCGTGGGCAGGTAAAAGAGACATGAAAAACTTTATGGGATTCTCTTTGTGGATCAGTATAGGGCATTTTATGTTAGCTAAGTGACTCATACCATATACTTTAGAGAGCAGGTTTGGGTGCTTGATTTAGAAGCCTGGGCATCCTAGCTGTTTGACAGAGTGAGAGGGAAAGACAGAGAGGTTCCCAACTTTGATTCTCACCATTATCCTTTGGGACAGCCGCTTTCTCACCATGGAGGTGTGACAACAGACTCCCAGCACAGGCACCTCCATTACGGGAATTCCAAGAGTCTTCCTTGTGCCTTGACAGAGCGACAGATGCTTGAGGCTGCTCATAGTCTGCAAAGGGCAGAGAGTAAGAAGGAGGTGCTTGGGCTCACCCTAACCATTTGCCTTTAGTTCCTGATGCTTTACAGTTCTCTTCCACTGATAGCCAAGTCATTTAATGTCTCTGTCCTTTTGTTCCTTCTCCGTATAATGTGAATTAACACTGTTCTTACTCATAAGGGTGCAGTGAAGATAAAAAGGCATTAATGTTTGCTAGGTGCTCTTACACAGCGGTCATTGGAGCTATATAAGTTCCCAGAGAGGCTGATTAAGTGTCTGGCAGAAGAAATGGAAAATGAAAAAGGGTGGAAGCCAAAAGCTGTGAACAAAATACAATGGAATTGCTAAAATGGCTGAAACCAGACTAATAACACAGAAAAGCTGTAGACCATTCACATGTGCAGAATACAAACCACCTGTGTTCTTGAGTTAAATTTATCCCAGGGTTAAAGAAACTAGATTCTGTTCATTTCTCTGTTGCTGAATTGCTATGAATAGCAATGCAGTTGTATGGATACAAGCATACAAGATTTCAAATTTAATTTTTTTCTCAGCCACGTACTTAATCTCTAATTGGCTTTATCCTCCCCTTAATAAGTATGTTTTTTCTAAAATAGAAGGGGATCTCCTTTGTCCTCATCATGACTTGTGTTCTCAAGAAATTTCACCAAAGAGAAGAGCATAATTTTATCCATTGTAATTCCATGGCATTCTGAATGCTGAAATGTTTAATATGAATTGGTAATGTATCTTGTACCTGAACCATGTGTGTGAGCTTGATGCTTTGTGTCCCTTGAAAAAAGGAAGAGGCACAAACCACATCCTCCTATGTACCTCAGTGTGTGCCCTTAAAAGGATCATCACATTTAGTGTGTATTAAGTGAAACAGTGCAAAATAAGCTTCCTTTTCTGACTTTTCTGAAAGTAATACATATATAAAATGAAAGGGTTGACAGCGTATATGGGTCTGAAGAATGTTAACTTCATGCAGAATGTTCTTGGTTAATAAATCCAATCTGCTTGAATGGGTACTGCCCAAGAGCTGATATACACAATCCCCTTAGCTGCCAGGGCTCTACAGAACTTCATGGCCTCATGCTTATCCTGCCAGCAAATCTGTCCAGAGGGTCCAAAGATTGACAGGTCTTGATTTCTTCCTACCTGTATGTGGATTTTAGGTAGTAAATATTGTTACCATTTGAGTATTTATTTCCCACTTCTTAGCAAATGCAGTGGGAGAAACAGGGTAACACAAAACACCAGCACTTGCACATTCTCTTGCTGAGTGTGCATATACAAGTATGACATGATAAATCTGACAGGATGGAAAGCAAGCATAGATTTTTAGATTTAAAAAGTAATGAAATCAGAGTTTCCAAAACATGCCTTCACTCCCCCACTAAAAACACCAAAGAGAACCCCTGCTCATGTAAAAATCTACTTCAGAACCCTTTGATCATGTCAACTGCATTCTCAATCTAATTACTAAACAGTTTCAGTAAAGAAAAGGAATCAGCATTTTGTCTAGTTTTGTCTAGCTTTTTTCTTTTCCTCTTCTCAAAACACAATTGTGTTGATCTTATTAGAAACAGGTTCCCTTTTTGTCCATTTCTGGCAGACTAAGTAGCCTTGAATGCTTCAGAGAAAACAAAGGAAAACTTGAAATCTGCTATGTGATTAACTTCCTAGTTCTTGAGTTCTTGTGTATATTTTATATTTTTAAATTCTGTATATTTTACATTATATATAATTGCATTTTATTTGTTGAGTGCTTTATATATTGTACTTTACATATTACATCCTTTTCATAAGTCTAAGCAAGTGTGTTCAAGAAAGAAGATATTTTATAAAGAGTAATCCCTAATTCTGTGTCATATGAAAATTTCGAAAGCAATTTCCTTTACAGAGGAGCCTGACTCTAACATCTAGTCAGGGAATAATACTCATCTAATAATGAAGAGATTTAATCACAAAAATTCTTGTTTATAGTTTTAATTTCAATTATATTTTTCTTTTCCTAAGCCACTGCTGGGTTTGCACGGCCAGATTTTGGTATCAGGAGAAAGAGCTACAGGGGTGGCTTCTGTGAGAAGCTGCTGGAAGCTTCCTTCATGTCCAGTAGAGCCAAGGCCAGGCAGCTCCAGGATGGACTCATTGCTGGCCAAGGCTGAGCCCATCAGGAATGGTGGGAACACTGTTGCTTTGATTTTTAAAAGTGTTAAGTTTTCTTTTGTAGTTCTTTTGAAAGTTTTAAAGTTCTCATAAAATTTCTTTGCATATTAAAGAGTCAGAGTTCCCACACAAATTCATGTATAAATAGAATAGTTTACATATTTTTCTGTGGGTAGAGAGAAATAATTAATTGATCTTTGGACCAGTGTGGTTGGAGAGGTAGTAATTCCATCCTCCAATCCACAGTCACCTTTAGAATTCTATAAATACCAGATGTTTGAATAAAACTGGGTCTTTTTCTCTTTTGAACTTACCAAGCTTCTGTGTACTCATTTCATGTCCAGTAGCGACAGAACACCTCTGTGATAACGTATGTGAGAAGAAGAAAAACACAAGTTACTGTTCAGTTGTAATTAGAGCCAGAGAAGAGCAGGGTGAGAAATGTGAGGAACAGCTCTGCAGACAGCCAGGTCAGTGGAGGGGAGCATTAATGAGGCTTTGGTGGGT